GAATAAATTGTAATCATTAAAGTGAACAAATGTTTGGGTGTATTTGTCTTGTGATTTCTATTCCTGACGTTATTGGTCGCATAAATTTTAATGGTAATGATGAAATTAGACGTTTCCATACAGGAAACATTAGACATTCTTACACCATAAAGGTTGCGTTAATGTCTACAGAGTTTTAGTTTTTCAGGAAGTTAGACTTCTCAAATCCTCTGTTATAGCTGTTTTTATTTTTGGTGGGAAATCTACCCAAAGCTTTTGTTCATGGTTGTATGAATATTCAAAAATATTGATTGTATCCTTATTTTTTCTTCTAATTACATGAGCTACACATTTTTCTTGTTGCTACTTTTGAAGGTCTTCAAGTGATATGGTTTTGTTATTTGGTAAAGTTCTTTGTGATCCCTTGGCGCCAGTTTGTAGAGTCTGAGACAGTCTTCTTTAAAAAGTAGAGGATTCATTCGCTGGAAGCTATTTTAATCATTGATCTGGTTTGTGTTCAAATGATATTTTAGACATTACCGAACGAGTTGGACGCCATATATGAGGCAAGATATAGGGGTGCTATTTAAGAACATAGGTGTTAATAAGATCAAGTATACTGTAAACCTATATTAAAAATCCGTTTACAATTTATTTGTACATTAAAAACATTCGCAAGAAACTGATATGCAATGTAATTGGCCCTGATCTGGCATCTCGTCTACAGTCGCTTTCTCACAGACATGCCGTCGTTTCCCCTCTGTCTTTTTTACAAATACTTTCACGGTAACTGCTCCGATGAGCTTCTTTCGCTGGTTCCCAGACTTCATGAATTTAAGCGTTCTACTAGGCTGGCATCTTACTCTCACCCTTTCAATGCCGAAACTGTTAAATGTAGCCGTCTCTTCTACTCCAATAGCTTCATGTCTCGCACTTCTCGCCTATGAAACTCCCTCCCCTTTTCCTGTTTCCCTGATAGCTATAATCTGCAACTATTCAAATGTAATGTCAATCGACGTCTCCAGATGCCTTGATCTATCCCCTATCCTTCTCTTCATCCTTTCCTCTATCATTCCTCTTTGCTCTCGCTCCAACTCTCTGTAACCCCTTGCGTGCTAGTGGCTTCCCGCCTTGCTTGGGGTGAAACGCTTAAAAAAATACATATGTTAAGACAATTCTCAGCTCTGTTACGTAGAATTAAGATTTTTTAAGACATCTAGCGATGGTGCCGAGCACAGTGTGATAAAAAATCAAGCAGCCTTTATCTATAATTAAGGCTACTGGAAACAGTCTCAATTGAAATACTGATGCATTTGACCAATTTCTAACTCCTACACATAAGGCTATCTCATGTATCTATCTTTATAACTAATTTGTTTTGCTTTCTATGAGTTTTGTTTACACTATTTATATTATTCGGACTATTGTCCCCATCTTTGTCACCATATTTATTACAACGTTTCGGCCGTTGTACGCTCCGGCCTTCTTCAGGTGGTTGGAATGTCGAACTGAACCCTTTATTTCGCTCACTCGGGTAGACTGTTCTAGTTCCACGTGCCATGTTTTTTAAATGGATGGCAGTTGACAATTATCTCCTGTTAATTCCCCTTTCCAATTTCTCCACTACCTTAACCAGGTATTGAACTCACACTCTTTGGGTCCTGTCACTGGATCTAACTAAAAAAAACATGGCACATGGAACTAGAACACTCTACGACAGTGAGAGAAATAAAGGGTTCAGTTCGACATTCCAACCACCTCAAGAAGGCCGGAGTGTACGACGTCCGAAACGTTGTAATAAATATGTCGACAAAGATGAGGACAATAGTCCGAATAATGTAAATATTATACATAATAACTCATCTCAGAAATATAGAGAGATACTGAGTTTTGTTTAGCTAGCGTTTTATACGAGAGTGAGTCAAAAATTATCAGCTCTTTCGCCATAACATATCTTTAGACAAGAATGCGGATAATTTTGTACTTTCCTTCGTATATTTAAAAAACCGTTAATTTTGGGGTAGCTTTTAAACACGTAATGGATATAATGTTTATATATGTACATTGTAACCAGGGGAAAGTTACTAAATAAAATAATCAAACGACGCTTGGTAGTGAACGATAATACTTAGGATAAGAACGGCATATAAGATTCGCCAGCGGCGCGTAGAAGTTGTCAACTGCTAGAAGTGAGTCAAGTGAATTCCACAATGAATCTCCAACTGCAAGATAACTACCAACCGCCCCAAGCAGTCAGATGTGACACAAGGGTGAATTTAATGTGGGGTATCGTAACCGGTAGGATCAACCAAAAATTACCCGTAGACTTCGTATAAAACGGGGTCAAGTAGCTGTTTCTCGAGATGATACTCTGCCCTACGACATAGCCTCGTCTGGGGATCCTCTCTGCCCGGAGGCAGAGAATATGAACAGCACCGCTGGAGACGAATCTCCAACTGCAAACCAACATACGGTATTTACGAAACGAATGCCTAATATCTATCTATCTATCTATCTATCTATCTATCTATCTATCTATCTGTCTGTCTGTCTGTCTGTCGGCTTGTCTGCCTATCTATAGTTGAGAACAAAATTATTTGGCAACTTCTTGGAAAATTGAATTCTTCTTCAAATTTTGCCCATGTGCATTTTGATACAGCATTGTAAAACATAATAATCTTTTTTTTTAGATTAATTTTCTTTTTACTTACACTCAACAATAAAATTATTTCAAAGAAATCAAAACCATAAATGTCAATATCCTTAGTTTCTCTCTGAAGAATTATCCTTCTTGTTGAACCATAGCACAGCCTACTAATGTGTACTGATCTGATTAAAAATACTAATGCTCTCTAAGTTTATGAATTGAAGTTAACGCTGGAGTTTATCTTACAATATACACACAGCATGACAACATAAGTAGTGATTTTAACTGACATTTGCGAAAGTATCTTGTCAAAAACAAAATAAATTTGGACCTGAGAGCAAAAGAAGGATATACAAAGATTGTGAAAGTGTTTCCAAGTGTCAAGAACTGGAGTGAGAAGTATTATCAAGAAGTTCAAGGGCGATACATATTAGGGAACAAGTCTGGCTGTGGTAGGAAGCGAATATAGGAAGCCATATATTAAAACTAAAAATTTCTGAAGCTATGTACATAAAACAGTTGAAAACTAACCTAACCAAAATAAACTATGAAATGTCCACAAATATTCTTAAATGCCTATAATTGGTAAGGGAAGTCATTGGTTTGTACCAATGGCTTCCTATACTTAATACTTCTCGTTTCACTCTCGCGCAGTCATGTGTGACGTCATGAGCTGCGGTGCGATTTTCGCTTCCAGCGTCTTATATGTACGAGTTTGTCGTTGCTTGAAAATCTTCCATGTAAAAAGAAACAGACTATCATCACTGTTTTGTCTGTTTATTGCCTAATATATTGTAATGTAATTCTCATTTTTAATAATGGCTTATGTAAGCTGAAAGCTTAGATAAGATTAATAAATATGTATCAATGTTGTGATTTTCTTTCTTCGTTTAATGATAATGTTATTAAGCTTATCAGACGATATGAAAAGAATTTACATAAAATAAATAGACAAAACTTGCCTATATTATTTAAGGAAACATGCATCAATGAAAAATACTGCCTAAATACACACACAATATATATATATATATATATATATATACACACACACACACACATATATATATATATATATATATATATATATAGTCGGGTGCATATATTCTTAGACTTTTTTAACGCTTTAATCTGAATAACACACATCAGAAAAATCTAATTTTTGCTAGAAACTTTTGCATACGAATAACCTGTATTAAAGAAAGACCCCATTGTCGACTAAAGGACTGTTTTTACAGCTTTTGAGGGACAGGAATCTGTTTTAATTTCGGAAGAAATGATTGCAGTCTACCTCTTTCACACTCTGTGAATAACGAAGTCAACTAGAATCTCCAAGAATCAAGTGGCTACTTTGCGACCGTTTGTTCGTGCCTTTAACGTCAACTATTGTCAGAAGAATTTACCAGGTTGACCACAATCGGGATTATTGATTTGCACGTTTCTTTCTACGCTTCAAATGAAAGATCTCTGAACGTGATCAAAGTCTTAATGTTGACTGGCAGATATTTTCTTTGTACCGCATCAGACAACCCAATTGATTTATGCCAGCTGTCATTCGATGTCACTCCTGAAAGAAACTGATATTTTATGACAATGAAAGATTCGTCAAAACGTTGTCCTTAAAAGAAATGAGATATTGGTTATTTACTTTCTGTGATTTGAATTAAAAACAAAGAAAATTTTCACAAAATCTTGAATATATTTATTATGTCTATAATAGTTTAATTGTGGCAGTAATGCTTGATTGATTCCTTTTTTACGGCTTATCAACCCTTTGCAGGTTATTTAATGCCAGAAAATATTTTAAGATTGTAAGTTTTTTTTTCTTTGTTTTTTTGTTTTTTGAGATGTTAATGGTTTAGTGATGGTCTCACTAATTAAGCCATAGTTGGGAGGAGAAGAGGTAGATTTCTGCCTAATCCGAATTTGAATTACAAAATGAAAGAAATTATGATGTGGATATAAAGTGGGGGATCAATTCTATATTACAATTAATGCATAAACTGATCCTTCACCTTGTGGCCACTGTATAGAAACATACATTTGTAATTCAGAGAATGTAAATAAATCTAAAAGACATACATGAGTAGCAAACCAATATTTCATTGAATGATTTATTTTCAGTGGCTGAACCTTGTGTAGTTATTTAAAGCTAGAATATATTTTTACATTGTGAGAATTTTTTAACAATAATAGTTAAGTGATACAACTCTTGTTAATTAACCCATAGCTGGAGGAGAAGAAGAAGTTGATTCATACCCTGTTTTCAACATTATTTGCGCATAACTGAATATAACGAACCCAACGGGGATTGAAACCCGGCTCTCCGATTAACTAACAATTCTGAGATATTATACATTACCCGCACATCCAGGCTTACAGCACCTGGAATTCCCATGCGGTCACCCATCTATACCAGGATCGACGTTGCTTAACTTCAATGATCGTACGAGAACCAATGTTTCGGCATGATATGACCGTAAGCCCAGTGAAGCACTTGGCATTCCCAAGCGGTCACCCATCTATGTACTGACCAGGTTCGACGTTGCTTAACTTCAGTGATCATACGAGAACCAGCGTTTCGAGATGCTATGACCGTAATCCCACTGAAGCACCTGGCATTCCCAAGCGGTTATCTATCTATGTACTGACCAGGTTCGACGTTGCTTAACTTCAGTGATCGTACGTAAACCAGTGTTTCGACATGATATGACCGTAAGCCCAGTGAAGCTTCTTTCAATTATTGCGTAATGACTATGCATTTCTTGGTGATTTTCTTATGTATTTCTGTAGAGTAAAATTAGTTGCCATTATTTTCTTTTGTAAAATCATTAGAAATGCATTAACACTGTATTTAACATAGCCTCTCTTTTCAATAATACACGCTGACTAATTCCTGACTCATATCAGTTGATTTTCCCCTATTTTCGGTACAGATAATATGAAATGAATCTTGCTAACAGAATTTTAGCTCAACATGTGATGCTTAATCATTATTCAGCAGTTTTCATACGATCAGTGAAGTTAAGAAACTCCACCTACTCAGTATCTAGATGAGTTCCGCTTGCGAATACAAAGTGGTTTAATGGATAACAGCACAGAAGTGGAAGTCGGAGAGCCAAGTTCGAATTCTATTTGGGTTTGTTAGATTCACTTACGCTCAAATACCCTTCGGCAAGATATGGATTCATTTCTTCTCTCCTATGGCTTACTTACCGTATTTGATGGCATATAAGGCGAACTTTGGTTTACTAAAATATCTTTTAAAATTCCCTTTCATCTTATATGTCATATGTAGGTTTAAAATTCGCGATAGTCGGTCAAAATTAGCTACCTGGCAACTCCTATCAGCTTAAACTTTAAAGTAACTTTCCTATACCTATTGTCATTATTTAAAAGTCTATTATGCAGATTAAGTGTTAACATTGATAATATTCATTATAATAATTTCATCACGTTTAATATTATTACTGTGTTTCACTAAATTTAAATGCAGTAAATTAAATTGTATATTTGTAAAATATACTTGTTTCATTAATATTTTTCTTGAGATAACTTTCGGTTGCATTGGTAAAAATACAATCAGAATTTTTATATCGTAATTATTGCAGTAAGACGGGGCATCTCGATGTGATGTAATGTTAGCAAGCTTGTCTCGCTAGAACAATTATGACTGCATAGTGAGTTCGATTCTCACTGGGTGTTTCCTACTTTCGGCCTTGTGCCACATCAAAGCTATTCTTGGAAAATCAATATTTCGATAAGACGTTTACAGGGCGCAGGTTGTACAGGTCATATAATGAAGATTTTATAGGCTCGTGTCTTTTTCCTATTATTTTTCGTTTAGTCGTAATCTTGTTTAACCAAGATAATACCTCATAAATATAGCCCAGGCTGTACCATTTATTAATAATTTTACTAATTACTAATTTTTTCTTGATTTCCCCTGCTGAAATTGGGGTGGATCTTATACACCCGTGCGTCTTATTTGCTGTCAAACACAGTAGTTTGACTTGTATCAGTAAATCATTGCCATCTCCCTCCCCACCCCGAAATATCCTTACAATCAAAAAATATTTTCTGGCTTTAAATAACCTGCAAAAGGTTGATAAGCAGTAAAAAAACAATAAATTAATGATTATCTTCTTTTTCTCACGAACAGAAATGTTGAATTTGAGAAGTCAGAGGACAGAAAGTTCCAAAACGTAACTTTTTCTATTCAGGTATCAAAACTTTTCAGGACGTACGCGATCATGACTCTCCACGCTTTCCTGTCATCTGGACCATTATTGCATGTTCCTTTGACATTTCTGAGTTTAACATGATTTATGTTCATTTGTTTGTTACCATATTTGGATCATTATTTTATTAGTTAATATACCAGTTCATGCTTTACAAGTATATGTGTGTGTGTGTGTGTGTGTGCGTGCAAATTATTTTCCGATCGATTGTATCTGTAAAAGAATAAAAGGTATGAAAAGACAAGAGGAAAACTATTCTTAGCCGACGCGTTTCGCACTCTAAATGACTTTCTCAAGGCAAATGTAGGGATTTATTTTGTTGCAGGTGTTTATATACAAGAGCAAGGATGGTTGATGAAGGCTTTTAAATTTAAGAACGTTCAGGTGGTTGAAAAGGCCAGTCATAACATTTGGAGGACATAAAGTGTCATAATGCAATGTATAGTAAAACAAAAATAAGCGAGTAATATTCAATAATTTTTTTTTTAAATATTCAAAATCGAAACAGTGACATTCTAGTGATATTCCGTAATATTCAAGAATTTTTTTTTTTAATTCTTGAATATTATTCATCTTTGTTTCCATTTTCTATAAAACGTCGTCGTTGCTCACAAGTTCGGACATGATATTCTCAGCATCCTTCTGTATAACTGTTTTCCTGTTGCTTAATAGCTTGTTTAACTTTTGGAAAGCATGTTTCTGTATTCCAGTGCAACTTTGGATTTCGGTGTCACATTTACTGTCATCTCTTAAAACATTTCCAGATATTTCAATTTATGTACCTATTTGAATTTTCACTTGCATCTTAGCCTTTTTCTCTTTTGACAGCCATACATTGTCCTCTTACAATTGACGGTTAAGTCTTTCTTCTCGTTTTCCTTTATTAGCTTGTCTAGGGGATCCTGTAGTTTTCTTCCTGCCCCTGTCATCAACACTGTGTCATCTGTATATCTCCTGTGCCAATTTTCATCGAATTTGGTGTGTGTTCACCCGCGTGCGTGTTTGCGTAAAGCCCCGGAGCCCTCATCCCCATGTGGTCCATACCTTCTCCCATGTGATGTCTGACAGAATACCTATCTCTTCACTGGGGTGAGTGTTTATATAAATGACTGCCCAAGGGTTTTCTCCCACACGCACACATTTCCCAATGACAGCGGTTGAATCGCGGATCTCCACCATTTTCATCTGGCTTCTCTGCAGGATACTGATTGAAAATTCTGTTCTCAATTATATGAGGATAAGTACATTCAACAAAATAATCTGCCATGTACTTCTATAGTAAAATTATTTACAATGCACTTCTGTAGCAAAATCATTTTCTATAAATTACTATAGGAAAATCATTTTATATGCATTTCTACAGTAAAATCATTTTTCTATGCAATTCTATAGTAAATCATTTACAATGCATTTCCATCTTAGAATCGTGTCTACGCAATGCAATCCTATAATAATGTATTTCCATCGTAATTAGGAACGTTTTCTCTTTAACTATATATGTCGATATAGAGTGAACGAAAATTTTGACCTATTTTTATAATAAATTCTACCTGTGATAATAACACAAGAAAAATAAATCTTTTAGAAATCATTTCATTTTAACTGTAACTATTCTTCTTATAAAACATTGCAAACTTAATTTGTCATTTAATTAACTGAGTTGTTCGAATGTGGGCCCTTTTTTCTCGGAGGCCATCGTGGAGAAAACGTCTTTACCCATTCGTGGTAAATTACCGTCAATGCCGTATTTGTTTGCACTGTGCAAAAACTTGTTATTAATCTAGTTACCGGGTGCAAAAGTTGACGTATTTGCTGAAATGAATGGCAATCTGACGTCTGATAAGAGCAAGTTATCAGTCGATTGCTCTGTAACTTGTTCCTCACGCGTTGATTACAGCACGTGAAGTGAACAGCGCAAATGCAGTCGACCTCCATTTGCGTCTTATCTTTCTTTTCACGTCCCGGAAGACAGAAGAAGAAAAAAAATAACCATTCAGAGAAAATTAAATAACTACAGAAATAGAATTCGTAGTCAAACAAAAAGAGTCGTTTAAGGCAGGATCTTCGAACGCAAGGCTCATAACACATTAAATAAAAATAGCACGAAATTATTGTAACTGAACATGGTTGCACCCTAGTATTAGATATTATTTATCACCAACGATTTTATTTGTGTCTCAGACGCGTACACACACACACACACACACACACACACACACACACACACACACACACACACACACAAGTATACATACTCGAGGATGATCAGTAAGTCTATAGCTCGACACATTAATGGAGAAAGGCTTTTACTAAGTGTATTGACAATGAATTAAATTATACTTTAAATGTCCAGTCAGTGGATAACTAGGGCAGGAAATTTAAACGCCTCCCAAATAAAACTGCTTTCATTTAACCACCATAGACAACCTTTTCTGGCTGCCATCAGCACGGCTGACGCTAGAACACTGGAGAGCAACACCCTACGCCTACTTGGCCTCAAGTTTTCAAATGACTTGAAGTGGAGCGACTACATCGAATCAATAGCTGCATCTACTGCAAGAGAAGTTGGATCACTGTGTCGTACCAGAAAACTTTTCTCGTTACATTCCATCTTGCGCAATTACAAATCTGCCATTCGCTCGTGCATTGGATACTGTTTTCATATCCGGTTGGTGTTTGTGCTGTACAGGGTGCGATGGATAAATTGTCGTCTAAAATAGGCAAAAATGAAAATAACACTGATATCTCATTTTAACAGATATATGTACCAAAATTGCACAAAAATATCTTAAAATACATAACGAGTAAGCTTATTCAATAAAATTGCCATTGGCCTCCAGACGACTTCTGGACGGTCTCCTTGTTTAAGATGCCATCATCATTGACTTCAGTTCGTCTTTGGTGTTACAAGGAGTATTGTTGGTCTTTTGCTCAACTGCGCCTTACACATAATAATTGCAGTATGGAGAGTTAGGTGGCCGTATGTAAAGGTTGTGTGGTCGCAGAAATTGTCGGACAGCCATCGGATTGCTGGTGTGTCATGGTGCAAAGTCATTTTTGCCAGACATGTTTCCAGCAACCACCCTCTTGACCCAGGACAGCATTACCTCCTTAAGGCAGTTGATGTAGGCCTCCCTATTTAGTCTGAGACCCTCACCAACAAATTCGGGGGTGTATTCGGGAGTGTATTCCTTATCATAACGATCAGAGTGAGTTTTCCGAGATGCTGTATCTTCGTAATCACCATTAGAATCATCCAACTCTTTCCGAATTCTCTGCACTATCCTCAGATTGTAGCTTCCGGCGCGAATGCCAAGCAGTACAGAATACCGTTTCCAAATTTCTGGCGGAGTGAATTGCGTCATGGTGCTCTTTTTATCGCAGACTGTCCACAAATGACCCTATTATATTGTGCAGTAGACAAAATCAAAAACAAAGAGAATGTGATAAATTAAAAATATAAAATGGTGACAATTTA